ATCCTCAACATTAATTCCACCCAACACATGGGAAGCGCCCCCGCCCAACTGATCCCATGGTACACGCCCCTGGCCAAGTGATCCCACCCAACGCACGGTGAACACCCCCGCCCTTTTCAACGGCGCCCCTTCTCAATGCCAGAAGTTTGCATCGGAATGAGCTTTAAGAGCGGTGATCCGAGCGCGGCAAGCAGCCGGGAGTCTCTGAAGGCAATGCTTTCCACAATCTTCGGCAACCAGGGGCGCCGCCGGACGCACCGATGTTTGAATGAATGAAGTTTGTGCGCTGGCAAGACACGTGCTATCTCCTCTATACTGGCTGCGGCAGTTTATATGGCCGAGGTCGAGATTCTTGTCACTGCTAAAGAAAATGTCGCACGTTGCGCGGTTGCTGAGTAGTTGGACTGCTTTGTTCCAACCCCCCCCCCCCAAAAAAAAACGCAACATGTTGGGTCTCCAGAAACAGGTGTCTCTTGATCATTGAAGATGGCTGCGGCCAAACAAAATGAGAATTCCCATGCAAAACCATTGCGCAGCATTCAAGACAGGCTTCAAAGGAAGCCGCAAAACACATCTCAACAAAGAAGACAAACAAAGCGAAACCGAGGTGCGTGATCACCCACGCCTGCCAATGTGTTCAAGAAATGGCGGCACCGAAACGATCGTGCATCGGAAGCCCTTTTTGCAGTTGAACATGGGCGAAAGCGCTGGGCGAAACGCACATTTCGGACAAACAAGACCGACGGAAAACGACCCGGCAGGCTGAATATGTACACATATACAGTATATAGACACATAACATGTTGAATTGGGGTCGGGATTTAATTTGGGATGTTTTGTTTGATTTTTGGATTTTTGTTTTCCGTCCTGGCTGCTAAGATGCTGTAATTTACAGCATTGTCTCGCGAAATGTACGTAATTTACGCTAGTCCGTCAATATCATTAGCATCGTTTTCAACCCCCGCATGTCCAGCCAACATCCCCAGCATCACCAGCAAATCGAACGTTTTCGGTGTTTTACAGGGATTAGTTTGCACGTATTTGAATCCTCATCATGAGCCCTCTTTTTAACATGCATACATAAATGCCTACCTACCTCGCCGCAGAGGAACTGATGATGCTGAAGATGCAGGAAGCCAAGGCCCACCGAGGGGTGGGGGGGGGGGGGGGGCAGGCCCCCCCCCATGATGATTCAAAAAGTGATGATTCAATTAGGGGTGCATTTTAATCTCTGCCAAACATCTAAAAAGTAGCGGGGGGGGGGGGGAGCGGCAGCCCCCCCCGGCAGCTCCCCCATGGTGATCAAAAACGTGATGATTCAATTGGGGGGCGAAAAAATTCTAAAAAGCAGCAGGCCCCCATGATGATCAAAGTAAAAAGTAGCGGGCCCCCCCATGATGATCAAAAAAGCGATGATTCAATTAGGGGCCAAAAAATCTAGAAAGCAGCGGGGGGGTTGAGGGGGTTGGGGGGCGGCAGCCCGCCCCATGATGATCGAAAATGATGATTCAGTTAGGGCCAAAAAATACATAAAAAAGAGCAGCGAGGGAGTTGGCGGGGGCGGCAGCCCGCCCCATGATGATCGAAAAAGTGATGATTCAATTCGGGAAAAAGAATCTAAAAAGTAGCTGTCGCACGATGATCGAAAAAGTGATGGTTCAATTAGGCGTGCCTTTTAATCGACAGTGGGGTGGCGGGGGGCACCAGAGAGGAACTTGCGATGCTGAGGATGCAGGAACCCAAGGCCAAAAACCAACTGGGAAAGCAGAGGATGCGAAAAGCCAAAAGCCACAAAGCCAAAAAGCCACCTGCCGCAGCGGAACTGTCAATGCAAGAGGATGCGAAAAGACAAACAGAGAGGAACTGTGAATGCAGAGGATGCGAAATGAACAGCCACAAAACCCACGTAAAAGCCACAAAAGCCAAAAAGCCGGAAAGCCACCCACCCTGAAAAACAAACTAAAAAACAACGAAAAAATCCCACAAAATTGCCCTCCATACTTTTTTCCCTCCCCGCCAACCTTGAAGCGGGGAAAACATAGAGCAACCAAATTGAAGCATCTTCGCTGAGGCTTTCCCGTGAAGAGGTCCATTGCAACTCGCAAATCTGCACCATCAGCTTGCTCTTGCCTGATGTACCCAAACATTGCATGCGAAGCATCCTCGAAGAGCGACATAACATGAACAAATCTAGCGATGCGCCCCTCACCTATCGTTGCCTACTTGACAAAGCTTCACGGATGGGGCTAGGAGCTTGCCCGCCCTTGCGCCGCATCAAAGCTCCCAGGGTATTTTCCTCTATTTCACCCAGGTTTCACCCACCCCCGCCCCATCCCGCCCGCCTGGTTCTGCGCCTGCTGCCCGGCCGTGGGGGCGTGTTGGTCAGACAGAAGGAGGCAAAACACAGAACACACAGGACATGTGTTGGCGCTCAAGCCCAGTGCCATGTAAAAGCATCAGTACCCCTTGTCTGGGACTTCTGCTTGGGCTGACCACTGGGCAGGCTGCCTTCGCAAATGTGTGCGCCTGGCCAAAGTGCCAGCTGCAAAACGAATTGCTCTGCACATGGGCAAGCCAGCGGTTTAAGCGACGATACGCTCGCAAATGCGGCTTTTGACGAGCCGCGCAAGCACCCACCCAGCGCTGTGGCTTCGGTGAGGGCCGATGCCTTGAATTCTGTGTGCGGTGAGACATCCTCGAAGACGGTGATTGCTCCCTCTGTCACTAAACGCCTTGGTCGGAGCAATTCGGTCGGCCAAGCGATTCCTGAGCTCCTGCGGCGATTCGTTGACGACGTCAAATTGGCAACGCGCACGAATCCGTCAGCTTCCATGCTGTCCAAATATTGGATTAGAGCGCCTAGTCAAAAAGACTTGTCGGTCCTTCTTCTTGCCGCTCACCTTGAGCCCAAGCTTCTTCAAGCGTGCTTGAAGCATGGGCTTGGTCCACTTGGTCAAGCCCTGAAACGGCTAAAAAACCCCACACAATGCCCTGAAATGTTTCTCGTAAAACCTTCGCCTCTCCCCTAGCTGCCATGGCTGAGGCGTGGCGGGCAGGACTGTCCTACGCCCTATGCACTTCTTCTAAGCATGGCCTTGTTTTACCTATCGTTGATCCTTGCGGCGTTCCTTCATGTCTCACGGTTCTTTGCCATGGCATCATGGTCATGAGAGATTGAACTCTGTCAAGCTGAAGCCAAGTCAGGCCACACACCCACACACACCCTGCCTTTTGGTGCAAAGTCTCTACAGGCCAACATACTTGAACAACATGAAGAATAAATCTGTGCCTTCACTCGGCAATCGATTTTCGTCCCAATGCCAAGCAGGTTGATTCGCGGCGCGTGCTAGTCCTAACGAATTGTCTGAAAACAGGAACTGGCTGAGCAAGCTTAGAGCTTGATCCAGAATGCCCTCCTTCCAACAAACATGAAAGCAGGGGGAGGCGCCAGAGGATAACTTTCCATTTCGAACAGGGCCCTGTGCAAATCTATGATTTTTGGAGGGAGGGTATGCCGGCTGTCCATCACCGCATCCACCTTGTGAGCTCAGGGCACCCAGTGGTCAAGCGGACATCTGCCGTTGCCAGGACCCGATTGAAACTCAAAAAAAGCACAGCGCAAACACTTGCAGCCAGAAGGGCCAGGGTTCGCACCCAAAACTCGTTGGAGCTTTGCCCAAGACACAAACTCTTTTGCTAAGGAACATGAGCAGGGCAGTCAATGCCTCATTCAAGCAGCACGGCATTCAATCGTCAAAGGAAAGTTCCGGGTCACTTTCCTGCCAAGCAAAAGCAAGAAGCTGGGCACTCTGCAGACGCCACTCTATCCTGGAAAGGGATACCTCGACTTTAGGCAAAACACCTCTGCATGAAGCACCGCGCTGAGGTTTTCGCGTGAAGAGGTCCATGGCAAACTCGCCAATCTGCACCATCATCGCCATTGGCTTGCTCAATTCACAAGGCAGCCCCCCGAATGAGGGGGACCCGCCCCCTCTTTTTGACATGATCATAAATGCCTGCCTACCTTGCCGCAAAGGAACTGATGATGCTGAAGATGCAGGAAGCCAAGGCCCAGCGGGGGCTTGGGAGGCGGCGGCAGCCCCTCCCCCATGATGATCGAAGTAAAAAGTAGCAGGGGGGTTGGGCGGGCGGGCAGCCCTCCCATGATGATCAAAAAAGTGATGATTCAATTAGGGACAAAGAATCTAAAAAGTAGCTGCCGCACGATGATCGAAAAAGTGATGATTCAATTTGGCGCGCATTTTAATCGAAAGGGGGTGGCGGGGGGCACCAGAGAGGAACTTGCGATGCTGAGGATGCAGGAAGCCAAGGCCAAAAACCAATTGGGAAAGCAGCCAAAAAGCCACCTGCCGCAGCGGAACTGGCAATGCAGAGGATGCAGAGGATACAAAATGAAAAGCCACAAATGCCACAAAAACGCACGTAAAAGCCACAAAATCCAAAAAGCCGAAAAGCCACCCACCCTGAAAAACAAAGAAAAAACAAATCCAAAAAAATGGCCCTCCTTTTGAATTTGCGCAAGCCTGTTCATCAGAGTCATCGAAGAGCTGCATGTCAATTTTAAGAAGCCGTGGCAACGCGCATAAACGCACATCCAGGGGAGCATGATGTTATATCATGCTTTGGGATTAGCCAGCTGAACCGCCAAAGGCACGGCGCCGCCAGAAGAGAGAAACTAAGCAACGCAAAAGCACAATGCAAAGCACAGCCCAGACTTACTCGAGTACCGGTCGGAAACCGATTCCTTCAAACCGTTGCAACGGGTCAAATTTGAGGATGTGACTTTAGTAGTCACAGTAATTACCAGAGTAGCAACCAGGGTGAAAGCCAAACAAAAAGCAAAGGAAAAACGCGCACGCCCTGCAAAACCCCTGCCACCACACGCCCTACCCACGCCCGGGGTGGAAAAAAAAAAACGACCCGAGCCGCCCCGAGCTGCGCCGAGCCGCCCCGAGCCGACCGACACCGGGGCCCCGCGCCAGGAAGACGATGCGGCCGCGGTCCTTGAGACTGGCGGCCGCGAAGCCCAACAAGTCCTCCGAGAGCTCGTCCTCGGTTTCGAGTTTCGCGGAGGAGGGCGCGAAGGGCACGAAGGGGTGGCTGGGGGAGGTGCGACGGGGGGGTTGGCCAAGGAGAAACCACGGAAATGGGGAAGATGGAAACCGTTTGGGGAGCCCGGAACCCATTTCTATGATTGGAGGGTACGTCTTTTGGGGGGTCCTATTTTGCGTTTGGCGCCTGGCGCAACGTTTGGGGGGAACTGCCGGAAGGAGCCCAGGCCATTTTTTTGGCCTCTCCAGGGTCCAGTTTGCAACCTTCGTTTGCTTTTGGGCGTCCCGTTTCGCGGCAGAGCTCTACAAGCTGCGGTCGCCCGAAGGCTTCTAGTGGAATTCCCTTGAATTCTCGGGGCTGCCTTCAAGCAGAAACCACAAGAGGAATGACTTGCTTGGTTGCCTTTGGGCGCTTTGGGTTGATGGCTTCAGGGAAACCACTCTTTTACCACCCAAAGGAGTTGGCAAATCCAGCTCACTTCAGCTTTTACCTTTACCCAACCATGGGCCAAACGCAAAGAAAAACGGACCAGAAATCAGTCAACATCAATATCTGTGAGCCTGAAACTGTGAGATAGGTTCCACCCAGCCATCAACAGGCTGGGGCCAACCCTTTAGCAACCAAACACGTGCTGGGGCCACTACTTTCAAACAAAGCACTGTCTCATGTTGCACCTCGAGGCCCAAGGTCAACACACCCCAAACCAGCGTGTTTGGCCGGGATTCGGCCAGTGCTCCAAACGTCCCTTGTTTCAAGGGCATTCAAGTTCAGCTGCCCATCGACCGTGAGATTGCTCCCGCCTCCCCGTAGGAGACCTTGGAGGGGATGTAGCTGCTGATGTCCTGAAACAAGACGGCGACGCAACACCAGGTGGAAGCCGTTGGTTTGTCGGTTGCCACCATGAAAACCAATGGTTTGGTTCATATAGCCCACTCATTTTGGGCGTGGGAAATTCCTCATTGGGTCAATCCATTGCTTGAATGGGGGGGTTGACCCCTCGAGGGCCCCAAGCAGAACGCAAACTCATGGCTCCGCATCGATGGTTTGTCCCAGGTGTTCGTGCAGGCCAGGTTGAGCCTACCCGTCTCCCGAAGGAAAGCCGAAACCAGTCCATCAGAACCCATTCGCTGCGCCCAGATCCGCGAACTCACGCTTGGAGAATCAGATCCGCCGTTTTCAACGCTCCAAAACGAAGCGGAAGCTTCAGCTTGACGCTTGCAAGAAGCGACCAGCGAAACAGATCAAGCCTGAAAAGCCCAACCCCTGGAACCCCGGCAAAACATGGTCCAAAACCAAAAGGTCCAAAAGGGCTTTGGGCAACCGAGCCGGGGATGGAGCCTTCACTTTTCTGCGGACAGGGATTTGCCAAAAGCGAAGAGGTCGCTTCGGATTCGCTGGTTGGTGAGGATTCTGAAACCTGTAACGATGCTTCGCTCGAAAGGGAGACAAAAGGGCAATCCAAAGGTGCCAATTGAATCCGCCCGTTCAGTAGAGCTGGCCTTTAGCCCAGGTTTGGCCACAGCTTTGGCGGAAAAACTTTGGACTTGGCGCAGTGAATTGACCTGCTGACCTTCTGAACTATTGCCGCCATGGTTGGGGCCCTTTCTTCAATGAACCCATTGCTTTATACAAGGCTTCATGCCAGAGGCGTTCATGTATTCACTGGGGTCCCTTTGATATCACAGGAGACTCAGTTGAACATGTCAATGTAATGTTTGCAAAACAACCAGGTTGCTTGGCATCTTCTTCCTTGAAACCCGGACATCTGTCTCGGAATGTGCTTCCCCGTCCAACAGAGCTTCCGCAAGCATATGTGCGCTGACGTTGGGCAAGCCTGCGGTGTGAAACATGTGGTCTGGCCAAGCTTGTTCCCACACCCGTGCCCTTAGAAGGTGCCCTTTGTGAAAGTTCTGAAACACGCGTTTCTTAAAAAACTGGGATAGGGTTTCCCCTTTAGCTTTCCCTTCAAAGACCAAGCACAAGGGCTAGGATTTCCCTTTGATATTCCCTATAAAGACCAAGCAAAAGGGTCCACCGATTTGCGCAGCTCAGTCTCGTCTGGCCCCCCGCCTGCACCACAACCGCCTTGCCCTCCCGGCCCTGCTTCTTGGCGCCAGCCTGATGTCTCAGTCTCAAGGTGAGTCATACTGAAAACCCTTTGCATCAAAATGCTCGGAATCCCAGAGCCATGCTTCAAGAATTCTTTCAAGGCGGATCTCCGCAGCTAGTTATGGCAAGGGGATTGTCCCTTACTAACCTTCACTTACCTTGGTTGACGTTGGAAGGGGAGCAAAAAAATAATTGTTAACAGTTAAGTGGGGATTTCAACCACTAAACCACAATAAGCAAAAATGTAAAATGCTTCCCAACAACAACCATGTTACCCGGGCTTGGGCACGTGGCTCAGCTGGATTCAGGCCTTCCCTCGGCTTGTTCACGTGGTCAAAAAAGGTACACCACAAGGATACTGGCCTCTTTTAAGGGGGTAGGGGTCCAGAAAAGATGAATCACCAGGATACTGGCCACATGATTTTACTATTGTCAAACTCACCCAAGATGGTAGGCTTAAGGGAAACAACCCCAGTTTCTGACTTTGATAACATGCCAAAATCATGACAGGGATCTGGTTACCGCAGGAACCAGTGACTGGCTTCGATTTCTTTGGCCCCCAAAAAGCCCAAAGCTGGCAACAGAAAAAGAGCGGCGGCTCAATTTAGCTTTTGTGTTGGCCCAAATAAACAGGTGATCTCGTCAGGTGATCCGGATGCATGAAAAACACCATTGCAACTTGTAAATGGTGGCTTCCAACGTTATTTTGCTGGAACGAAGTGAACTTTAACAATGGTGAAGTCGCCAATGATCCTTGTTGTAGTGTGAAACTCCGTGGTGTGACAGTAGTGAAAGCTGCATGCTTCTTCCAGTGTGGGGTTGAAGACCATTGTGTCGTAGTACGGTCTTCTCAAATCTCCTGGAATGCGTCTCACCGGCATGCGGTAGTTCATCGAGTGTAGTTGGACATCGGTCTGACCACTCAGTATTTGAGATTCTTCCAACGTCAACGCAGTGTAGAGTGCAAGGCGAAGAAATCGAGCCGCCAACGTGGTTTGGCCGTTTTGAGGCGGAATCAACCGCGCCAAAGGTTCGACAAATGCCCTTGACCAACACAAAGGGACACCTGCCGGCACCTTTCAAGTTGGAGAGACCAAATTAGATCAGTATTCCTGGCCCCAAAATGACCATGGGTAACTTGCTCAAAGTCATCTTTTGGGGTGGTTTCCCTAAATGTCACCTCATGTGAAGGACCTTGCAATGAACCCCCAAATGCCGAGGGAGTGATGTCGTTTGCCGTTCAGCGCGGAATTTGCGACAGCCGACAGCAAAGTTGAAAAGCTTGATGGGGACCCCCGAATGGATGAATCAACCCCAGTGTATCAATAGGGGGAGTGTCCCTGGGTTTAGTGGGGGAATCATGACATTTGGAGGGGGATATTGACGAACCGGGCTTGATTCATCCAGGGGTTACACTACCTGCTCAAATGATTTGGGCAGCCAGCCACCACCAGGAGAGATACAGTTGCAACCGTTTGAGTCAGCTGAGAAATACGTGTTGCTCAAGGGAAGACATTTACCCCCCAATCTAGCACCCCTTGAGGGACACCTTGCTTGGAATCACTCCGACAACTTCGTATGTGCTCACGATCAAAACTCTCCCCTCACAAGGTCCCCCCCAAGTACTTGGGAAGTCGGCGCTGCAAAAAGAATCCATGGGACGGTACAATGGCCCGGAATGATCCTCTGATCTTGGTCGAAGATGGTGCTGCCACCAAATGTCGCTCCCCAGGCCCACCAACTTCTGGAGAAATCCCCCTGCGATACCAATTATCCGCCATTGGGCTCGCAGAAATGGACAAATGTGCCTGCTGCATTGTCCACCATCCAGGAGGGGTTACGCGGATTTTGGTCCATGTTTCCACTTACCAGGGCCGGCCATTTCCAGGGGTAGCAACTCCAAAACAGTCACACCCAAGCAGCTGGCTTGGTCAACCCCCCTGAAGCTCGGGAATCCCCCGTCATGCGCTTCAACCAATTCTCTGAGCTCAGAGGTGAACCTCCAAATAGGATCCTTGGAACTTTCTTTGGCTGCCCTGCTTGACTGGGCTGTCCGTTGTCTGATTCCCTAAAAGTGAATAGCGCAACCACTAAACCAACTAAAATTTGCCAAGACCTAAGTTGAACGGATGGCTGGTTCCGAACCCAGCGAGCTTTTCGCAAGCCAGACAAAAGCAAACCCAACATCTTCCACTTCCTTTGGCAATTCTGTTAAAGCGACGTCCTCAAAAAAGTCGGCGGCCCCCAGCCCCGAACCGCCCGCGATCGCACCCGCCAACCGCATCCTGGGGCGTCCGGGCGCGCACGCCGTAGGGGGGATCCGTCACGATGAAGTCCAGCCAGCCGCCGGGCACTGGGCGCCAGGGCGGCATGGCGTTGTCACCTCGGGAAGTCCAGGAGATTTGAAGGAATCTCGCTATCGGTGGGCCAAGAGGCTTCCTAAAAACCCTTATGGAGCCCTAAGGAACCCTAAGAGAACCCAACCGATTTGCAGGAATCCGACAAAGTGTGGGCCAAGGGGCTCTCTATGGAAACCCTAACGAAATTTATGGAACCCTAGGGAACCCAAAGGAAATTTAGGGGAAACCCAGGCTCTCAACCTTTTTGGATGGTTTGGGTCAGTGGGTTTTCCACGAAGTGATCAATTTACTGGTGGTGTGAAAAGGAAACGATCGTCACTGTTGGAGGTTAGGAAACCCGTTTGGATGGCGAGGGCCGCTCTAATTGATGGTTTGGATTGGTGGTTAGGGCCTAGTTTCCCTTCCCTTACCATCGAGCGCTGAACAAATCCATATCCAAACCACCAACTACCCCATTTGGACGTGCCGGTTTTCGAGGAAAGCCACGAGGATAATCACCAATTGTTGGAGTTCCCTCCAAAAAAAAGCACTATTTAATAGAGGTCCCCTTTTTGGATGCTTTGGGGCCGTCCTTCTTTGAGGGTTGTTTCAGACCTTCTCGGATTGGGGAAGCCGTTCTTGGACAGTTTTGCCACCCTAAACCAACCAGATCACAGAAGCGGTAGGCCCCCTCTTCGGTGAACAGGTTCTTCTGACGGCAAAACAACAGCAGGCTTGAGCCAAGGCCACCTCCATCATCCTCAATTTCTAGGTCAGCCATTCATAAGCTCATGGCAACCCCACCAGAGTTCCCATTTGATGGCACCGATCGGATACCCAATCGGATTAAACATGTGCTATCCTTGTGGTCATCAGCTTGTCGCGAGCCTCTCCTAAAGGAATGAAAAATGACCAGCGGCCGCCGAGGCAAGGGGTCGAAAGAAGAGCTTCCGATTCACAGGGCACCTCACGGGCCCCATCAAAAGGGATCCCAACGTGCGAGACGGGCGAGCCCCGAGTGAAGTCAAGGAATGCCCCCATGCCTATCCCAGAATCATTTGCACAAATCCTCTAGACTTCAACCCAAAAGAGCCCCCCCCCCCCCCGCGTTCATGTGCACCAAACAAAGATCCTGTAGATTTCAACCAAACGAAGTCTTTCTGTCGATCGTCACCTGCTACAACATGAACCGTGCAGTTACTGACAAGAGTCAACACCCCCTCACGCCGGGCCCCGAAGGATGAGACTCACAAAGCTGAAGGGCCAACTCCGTTTCAGTTTGCGCAGTTCGAGCATCTGGGGTTCCCGAACTTTCCCTTTCAATCAAGGGAAACTCACCCAATTGGCCAGAAAGGCACTCACTTCCACACCCCTGGAACTGAATCTCCTTTTGCACCCTCCCTGAAAGCTGCCCAATCACAGGGCATGGGCCGAGACCCACCCCAAGCTCTCGCAGAAGGCGGGGTCCCGGACAAACCACCACCTCCGGAGATGGCAGTCCGTACTGCACCTGAGACTCTCACCCAAAACCTTGGTTGACGTTGGAAGGGGAGCAAAAGATTAGTTTTTAGCAGTTAAGTGGTTGGATTTTAACCATTAAACCACAACAAGCAAAAATGTAAAATGTTTTCCAACAACAACCATGAAACGAGCGAGCCACACGCAAAACCATTCCCTTGTTGCTGGCTGCGATAAGTAGGGGAGGGAATGGAATGAACCTGGGGATTCCCGAATAAAGGAAACCACCAGTCCGGTGCCAGTTGGATGGTTGATATGAATGGGTTATTCCATGTCTCATTCCCTGCTGGCACCAGCAAGTTTGGCTCCAAGCATATCAGCCCGAAGGAAGCTAAACTCGAATATGGCTAAAAGGAGATGATTAACAGACCACAAAGCAACAACGGCCATTGGTTTTACCCGGAAGCCTAGCGGGGTGAACAAACACCAAATCATTTTTCGATTATCAACTCATGTCGCCCCAATTTGCGCAAACTGATGCTTGAAGATCTACTCATGTTCAATCAACCTCCTTTCACTCAGCAACTTGCATTTTCGTGCTGACTGTGCCACTCAAAATCACCTTATTTTTTTTCCATGTTTGGCTTCTTCCCTTTCCGCACCGGAAACTGCAGTAAAAATGACCAGCGTCCCTTCTCTGAAGCGCCAACAGGAATTTCCCCCCGTATTTAGCGGGGACACTATTTAGCATTATCCTCTACACTTCCCTGGAGCTGGTTCCATAGACTCAAAAAAAGGCCAAGGTCAGGCATGACAGTTGCCGAGCACAGCACCCCCTCACCAATTCCTGGTGTGCCACTCCGTCGATTGCATCTGAAAAGCAAACTGAGTTGGTCAAACTGAGCCCAAACTTTTGTCGTTTCCCAAACACTAATTTGAGCAAACATGACTTGGGTCGCCTAATTCGACAAACCTTGGGCCCCCCCGCCCCGTTTTCTTTCCCCAAACATCCTATAGACATGCCAGGTGCCTTGGACAAAGCACACGAGACCAGGTCTTCCCCTGAACCGGAAAACCCTCAAACTCACCCAAACGCCTCTCAACGGCCACCCTTTCTTTTCCGACCGACCCACCGACGGGGCACTCACTGAAAAGCACGTCCGAGGTACGTCTTCTGTTTGAGGCTCCGGGCGAAGTTGGTGAAGATGTTGCAGCCCCCGGCGCTGGTGAGGCGATGGTCCTGGAAAGGGAGGCCAGAGGAAGCCACGCGAGAAGGCGGGAGGGGAAAGGGAAGCCGCGAGAAGCCTGGCAGAAGCTGGGGGAAAAAACAAGGCAACGCGAAGGGAGACTGGAGGTTGAACAACATACCGCTGGCTTGTAAGGCAGTACCCAATACATGGTATGTCTTACCTGCATACCTCTAAGACCCGTTCTCCTGACAAAAACCCTCCTCGCAAAGCTCGGATACGGGGCTAAGACACTTACTCGATGGGCAAAGAATCTGTTGGCCCGACAAAATCCATCCCGTGTGTCTTAAAATAGGATATGGAACCTCCTAAAGTGTTTGTGTTCTTAACCATACCCAGAAATGTGTGCCTTGAACAAATGACCTAGAAACATGACCACACCAAAAGGCCAAATGGTGATGTTGTTTAAAGCCATCAAAATTGGAATCTTGGATTTTCTGGGATATCACGGTCAAAATGACCCGAGCTTGGCTTGAAGCGTGCATTCAGACAAAAAGGGAAGGGTACCGATTTGAGGATCCAGTAAATCTATGGAAATTACCTTCTGAATCGGTGTGTCTTTCTTTAAGGAAGCTCTTTTGGTTGGTGTTTATAAGGAAAATAGAAGGAACCTGGGTCCCCAAAACAAGACACCCCATCTCACACGCCGATGCCGTTCACAGCTTTGTGTGGGTCTAAGGAGAAACTAGCTCCCAAAACAGGTAGGTTGACACGGAAGGGGGCCCGGGAAATCGTCAAACAAACAAACTCTAACGCGCACACGCACACAAGCACGCACAGACAAGGACGGAGAGGGGGACATAGACATGGACTGCCACACACACACACACACACACACACACACACACACACACACACACACACACACACGCGCGCACGCACGCACGCACGCACGCACGCACGCACGCACGCACGCACGCACGCTCGCACGCTCGCACGCACGCACGCACGCACGCACGCACGCACGCACGCACGCACGCACGCACGCACGCACGCACGCACGCACCAAGTGCGTGGCTGTGCCTCGGACGGCCCAAGGCAGTAAGTAGTTGGCCAGAGTGTTGCAGTTGAATCGTTCCCCACAGTAGGTGTTGCCCTGTATCCAGAGAATGAAGGGGAGAACATGTCCTGAATGGTCTGGTTTGCCAGCGCTACTTTTTAAGGGTAAGCGAAAACTGGGCCAGGACAAACGCACCGCACACACACCCTGCCATCAAGCTTGGTGTTCAGTGAACGAAGTTGGGTCATCACTTGTTGCACATCATTCATGCTAGGTGGACAAGGGGTCCAACTTGAGAAAGGATTGTCGTTTACATATGCAGCCAATAAGAACCTTCAGGGGTACCACGGCAAACTAAAATCCAGTTGTCCACAAACCAAACATGGAAAAGCAAGTGAGTTGCTCACACCTTTGTTCCCACGGCATGTTCGGGAAAGGATGTTGTGAGAAACAAAGGAAACGCTTGGTCCATACCAGTTTTACCGTTTTAACACAGCCCACGTTGCGGTGGATTTCCGTGGGAAACAAGAGAGCCCTCTTTTGATAGTCAGTCACTTTTAAGGGGTCCTCCCTCCAAAAAGATCGCAAGGGCTCGCAGCCCACTGGTTGTCTTCTAAGAATTGGACCGGCCCAAAGATGTGTCCAACAACTTTCTGCTTCTCAAATAATTCTAGCGAAACCCTGCACAGCGGAGGCAAATTTTCCTTGTACAACCCCCCCCCCCCCCGTATGGTGGACACCACTTAGGGTCTATTTTGCAACCTGCAAAATAGACTCTAGGTGTCCATGGCACCCCCCCCCCCCAATTTCCCAAAGCTGGCAACCAGCAAGATGAGGAAGTCCAACATGCCCCACAACCCGACATCGCATAAATCGGAGGCCTTTTCCGCCCGCGCGTTGGGGTTCACCTGCTTCACCTTCTTCACCTAGCCACAAAGAAAGCGAAAGCGAGAGCAGGGACCTGCTCAAATATTTTGTCTCGCTGTCTTGGCCTTGAAGTTATCCGGAATTCATGTCTATCCCAAATATTAGCTAGTGAACTATGGCTAACATAGACCTGTCGTTCACAGAAAGCAGGTAAAGTAATACAAATTGCTCTGTAATCTGACTTTTGTGTCCAAACAAGTAATACAAAATTCACGCAGAACTCGAAGAGCATCAGAGACGCCAGGCAGGGCACGCGCCCAACCAAACAGTGACAAACGTTGGCAATGTTATATACGAGTGTACGAAGACTGAAAAAATATCACGAGTCAAAACAGCGGTACATTAAATCAATACTATGACAACAGGTAATGCCGATGAAGGGGAACAAGGGAAAGACAATATCAAAAGGCAGTGGGCAAAATTCAAGGACAGCGCAACAATCGCAGGATGAAAGAAGCAACAAACGAAGGCACGGAAAGGCAAAGAAGTCAAAGGAGTTGGCAGGAAAACAGATCAACAACGTCCTTGATTGTAAGACACACCCATATTCGCAGCTGGCGGCGTGCCTAAAAGCTCATTGGTCGCTTGGTGCAACTTCCTTGATAGGTCAGTTATGGGGCCAAACGTGAACCATGCTCTCGGGCAGGTATAGCTGATGTAAATGTGTGCAATTGATGGACAAAACAAGTGTTCCCTTGACACTTGCAAACCGGGTTTCTCGGTTTTGCCTGTGGGCCCCCAGTTTGCCTCAAAACCAGCGTCCCCCCAAACCCACAAAACCATGAAGCTCAAACAAAAGCGTCCTGCAATGAGTGCGGGGGCCATCTGGGGGGTCTAAAACTACGCAGCGGCGTCCGGGTGCTGGGAACCGGTCGATGAGTAGAGGCGCAGCCGATTTTGGAGCTCCGGAGCACGTTTTGAGTGGGGCACCTTCCTACAATCCAGTTCCGCTGACATCCGGAGAAAAAAAAGAGAAAAAAGAAGACAAAAAAAACAAGCCTTCCCTTTGTATGAATGAAACAGGCTACACCAAACCGAAAACCAGCGAGAAACCCGTCTCGGCAACGGACGCAGTCCCCCCCTGGCCGCCTCTGCTGGCAGCCTGAGATGCGGCGATGGCGTTGGCTTTGCCCTTTGCAACATACCCGGGTCGGTCAAAACCTTGGTTGCGGGAACGACCCTGCAAAAAGTGGAAACCTTTTTGGGGGTTGAGTGGAAAACCCCTTTATTCCAAAAAGTTAAAGTCTAAAGATCCAAGCCAATAGCAATCAAGAAACGACCTCATAGCCTGGCCTTGGTCTTGGGTGTAAGTGAGTCTGTCTTTTTTGGAGTTGGCTCACCCCCCCCCCTTTTGTTGTTTTGAGAAACCAACTGGAAAACCCGTGATTGGGGGGGGGGTCCGATTCCTCAAAAAACAAAAAACAACGAGCCACCCGTGTGGAGAAGCCATTGCTTTTGAAGCAGCAAAAAGGCTTTAGTTCTGTCGAAGCGAAGAGCCGGTCTAAGGCAACAGCAAACATCGCCGATAGAGATTCCCTCAAGAAAGCACCATGAAAGCACGCAATACCAAAACTAGGGACAACCACCTCATGTTATTTGTGCACAAATGGAAAACACCAAAGGACACACCTCGTCTCAGCTAACTTCAAGAAGGCCCACTTGCGAATAACTGTGTAATTGCGTGGTAGTCTGCACTGATACAAGGTCGTGACTAAAACAAAAAGCAGCAACTTCTAAGCCGTGGCATCCCCAACCGCAACCCCTCTTCAAACCCTTCAAAAGCCGTCCCTTCGCTCCGCACTGTGCATCTGGGCCAATCGACCCCAAAAAGCTTCAGCTGAAGTACTCCGTGCAAAAATGGCCCAAATAACTAGAACGGGATTGTGGAGGGGTTTAACCAATTTAAATCATGACAGGTGTAAACTGCTAAGAAGCCACGAGGCTAGAGCCTTGTGGTATAAAGCCAATTGTAGGAGAAAAAGATCGTTGGGTAGCCTTATGGTACATAACCACGTCATGATTGTAGGACAGAAAAACCATGCGGCGTCATAGGAAAAAGAAACAAAAAAACACCGTTCGGGTCCAAGGGGCCCGATGTCCAGCAGATACTGCAGGCTCCAGGAGTCGGTCCTGCAAGCCACGCCAAAAGCTCCGTCTCACTGGTTGCCCCTACGCGGGCCGCGATTTCTTTTTTGGCTGGCGATCTATCCACTTGGGTGTGGCTCAAAATTAAAGAGCCAGGGTTACGCAGGTTTGAGTCTTTGGTTTCAAACAAGGCGTCATTTATGTACCTTTTTTGAGCCACCACTTGGGGTTCCGTTCTTTTCGGGCAAAGGAAACTTAGATTTCTGGGCTGGTCGACTTCAACCCCGTTCAACTATGAGCTGGTCAGGGAAAATGCTTTGGACGCCATCGCCTGAATCACTGAAGGGCCCTCTGGCGAGTGAAGTCTGGCCAATTGGGTGTGGCTCAAAATTAAACAGGAGGTTTTGGTCCATGTTTCCACTTACCAGGGTTCCATTTGGTACCGGTTTTTTGAGCCACAGCCAATTGAACAGATCGACCCCAAAAAGGGTTGCCCGACCCCTTTGTTCGATTTGGTCACAGGCAGACTGCTAGACTGGCGTCAGGCGGAAAAATCGGAATTTCCAAGCTGAAAACTTCCCAAGGGGACCTGAATCAACGTGAGCCCAAAAGTTGGCGAATTAATTTATCACCCCCAAAAAGTTGGAAGACCCAAGATCTGATAGAAAGTTCCCCTCAAATGCAGTCTTGGGCTGGCAAGCTCGAAAGGAAAATTGGTGCTGGGCTGATCTTGTGAAAAGGCCAGTTCCGAGTACACAACTGATTAAGTTATAAACGACCCACAGCTGGCCTTGCTATAGCCATTTTTTTTTTTAAATATATTTTTGCTTAAAGAAGAAGAACAAAAAGTGGAGCCACCACTCCGAAAATGGCCCCTTTTTTGGGATCGGCGTGTTCGGGCGCAACTCAGTTGGCGTGGATCCCGGCGCTGTTCCAAATCCCCAGGTCCGACGTCTGAATGCCCCCCCAAACCGAACCAACTGGAAGTCAGCATGTGAGCACCGGAGAACATTACTCAATGGTTCATTGGGGCAGGGACCTGGTGTGGCACTTTGGTGTTCGGCCTTAAGTTAGTAAGTTCTTGGTAACCAAGGCTACCCACTTGTAAGTCTCCCTGGAATCAACCTTGTCAGGAGTTTATACCTCAATTGGCGAACAACTTACCCGCAACTTGGCCGAACCTCCCAAGGAGCTCGAGGAACCTGTCCCAGCTCGGGGAAACAAATCGGTTGCCCAGTTCCCCGTGGGTCGACTTTTGGTCTGCTGGGCGTCGACCCAAGGGGCGCTTTGGGAAAGGCCGAACCGTTCGGAGCCTGCCACGTGCCGATATTTTTTTTTGGGGGGCATCTCGCGTTTCGGGGAATGGGAGGCAATTGAAGAGCCCGGGAAAAATGGGCTTCGGGTTGCGTGTCCCCCAAGTGGCATATGGCCATGGGTCAACACCCAGAAAGAAACCCCCGGTGAACATCCGAATCCCCACTAAAATGGATGAACATGGGTGGTGCACCGAAAACCCCAAGATGGTATTCCATTGGCTTTGACACCCCCGGCCCTATGCAACGGAGTCAACTGCTACCCACTCCCTCGCGCCTGGTGGACGTTGAGCCTGGCGCCGGGCTGACTCGAACTCCATTCTGGGCTTCCCTCGAACCCATCCAAAAAGGGGGGGGTGACCCATCTTGTTCATCGCCCCAAGCAACCAATCAAAAGGACATGGTTGGCAACAGTTCCATTTCAGGGCTGCCCGATTCCTGATCCCCCGTTTAAAAGTGAATAACTTTTAGTGGGTCCAATGGAAACTACCACTAAACACTGAAAAGCTAAAAGGATAAGGGGATGGCTGGGAGCAACAAAGTATATGCAAGTCAAATGGGCATGATCGCTGAGCTCCGGCCAACAGATTGGTCAGCCAGAAGACTTCCCAACAGCCACTGGCCCATCTGCCCATCTTTGCCATCCTTGGTGAGATCCCCTGAAAAAGTGAAACCAAAGTGAAATAAAACTCAACAGTTGGACAGAAACAAACACTTTCTGAACTTTTGCCCTGAAGCGGTCCGCACTTGCGCGGCTTTGTCTCCTGGAGTCGCTGCGGCGGAGTCGATTTTTCCGGCCTGTCTCCGCTGGAGCTGCCGCTGGCTCCGCCGGCTCCGTGAGGTCGAGGCCGCGCTTCTTCGCAGCGTCCAGCACGGCGGCCTGCCACTTTTCTTCGGCGCGCCGGGGCGCCGTCCAAAAAAACTCGCAAGACTGGTTGACCACCCGCCCTCTTCAAGTATATCCCTTGGACTTGTTGGAGACATGTGTCGATCATTTCGATGTTTAGTAGGCCTCGAAGTTTCCCAGTTTCGACGGTCCAACTTTGATCCCCGGCAAGGACCACCCTGGCAGGCCCTATTTCGGTGCTATTCCCTTTGCCTCCCCTCAGAAAAACCCCCCACAGGCGCCCAATTCCCATGTTGAAACTCAAGGTATGTGTACAAACCCTGAGGCGCCACGCCTTTTACTCGCGGGAAAGGTTCCAAGGGACCCCTTACATTCACTGTCGCGTGACTTTGCACCGAGAAAACTCCACCCGACCCGCCTTGTTCTTGGTGTAGGCAATCCTAGCTGACAGAGTCAGATTTGGGTTCTACCAGCATCACCCCAACAAAACAGTCCAGAAAGCGGGGAGCAAGACAAGCACGGTTTAAGGTGGGGAACCCTTGATGGACATCATCTTGGAATTCCGACCACATGCCCCTGAGTCCTCCTGAGTCCATGCCATACGGCACGTGGAGATGTGCCAAATGTTGCTTTCATGTTGATGTCCCATTGAGCATAGGCCAATGGGTGTGATTTGTTTAATAAGGGGACCCCTTGGTAAACATCCGCCTTCGGCGGGGATTTATGTCCACCAGGCTTAATGGCAACCCCGGATCAATAAACCCCAGTGTCTGAATACGGGGGGGTGTCCCCAGATTTAGTGGGGATTCATCAGCTTTGAAGGAACACACCCATATTAGGGTACCCCTTTTTGGTGGTTTTGAAGGGGACCCAAAAGGACAAACACAATTTTCGGGGGGTCCAACCTCGAAAAAGGCAGACCCATATGGCCGTGGCTCAAAAAATGGTACCCCAAATGACCCCGTAAATAAACACTGCGGTTTGCCCCACCAGTTTACGTGTTTGAGCCACACCCAACCTTGGTCCAGCCTTGAAAAAGACAGACCCATTCAACAAAAACGAAGAGGAACAAAAACACTAACCTTGGTCCAACCTTAAAAAAGACAGACCCATACTTAAAAACAAAAAAATGAAGAAGAAAACGAAACAAAAGCTCGGGGTCAACCTTATCGCCTCTGAGAGAAACCACTTCCGATGAGACCCTGGCCGCCCTCCAACTCCGAGACCCTGGCCGCCATCCGCGCACCACCCGGATGTCGATCTCCCCGCCATAGAGGCGCCTCGGCTTGTTGCGTTGCGCTTGGCGCAAGGCGTGGGGTCGGGGAGACGACGTGGACACCAAGTGGCTCCCCCAAGTTTTTCCAGCAACCAACAACCAACAAACAACAAACAGCAAGTAGCAAGCAGCAAGCAGCAAGCAAAACCAAATAACAAGCAACAAACAAACATCATTATATTGGAAACTTATTGTAATTGGGATTCGCCCAAAGGGCGATGTTCAAGCCATCCCAAACGGGGAAATATAGAGACCCTTGATTAGGCTGCTGTTGCTAAAATTGCTTGAAAGAGCTGTTTGACCACCCCCAAAGCAAAGGTATTGGCTTGCACCAGACGCAAGGCCCTTTTCTTGTATCCGCCCCAAAAATTGAAAGCCTGAGATGGCTGGGCATTCTGTCCCCAGCAAGACAAAGTGCAAAGTGCAATCCACTTGCACCAGCCGTGTCCTGGGTCATAGGATGTCCTGCCCTTAGGCTTTGCGCGATTTTCTGGCTTCCATGAAACCGATGGCCACTTTTCAAGGCAAAGGGAGATCCCTAAGGCTCATGACCCCTAGGCCTTGGGGCCTCCAATGAAGAGCCCCGGAGCCCGTGAAAACAACCCATTTTGAGGGCCCAAAAACTCATCGGGGGCCTTTTTTCATGGCTCGGGTTTCCGTTCATTCCAACAAGTTCTCCAGTGACACCGTCCGTGATGCCCCATGTCCGAAGCTTGGGGAAAGGTGGGCTCACTCGACTCCGGGGACCCCGGGCGCCCCAAAGTGCGCCAGCGCCACTAAAATGCCGCCCGTCCTCGCTATATGTGGCAGTTGTGGGACCCGTGACGACCCGTGGGGCCCGTGGTGTGTTGCCCGACGGAATCAGTAGTCGCCCGACGGAAGCCAGCGAGCAAATTCAACCAAGTCGATTGACTCATTGCTACTTTGCGTGGAAAGCACTCGGCTTCCGAGACGCTTTTCGTGAAATGACCCGCCCGAAAAGCGAGGCGCTTCCAAAGGGCGATGCTCAAAGAAGCTCAGGTTCCACAGAATGCACCAAATGCGTCTTCCGCGGATGTCTTGCTAGGAAAGGCGCACGTGTTGCCAAAGCAACTCTTCCCATTGGATCAAAGGCCATTGGATCGGCTGCCTTGAGGCTATGCGCAACACGTGGGCCTTTCTGGTACTCGGATCTGGCATAAACACACAAACCAACAATGTGCAACAGTCATGACATTGCATATGAGTAACATTTTCTTAGATCACATCAGGTTGCGCATCACATGGTGTACATTGCACTACACCAGAACATCACACTGTCAAGGGATCCCATTTCCACTTCCACCCTAAGAATGGAGGATGATGCTTAGGGCCATCAACTTGCTGGTTCTCAGTAGGGAATCAACAGATGCTTTGGGAATGACCCGTTTAGGGATCCTTTAAAGGAAACCATGAGGGATGGTTCGGAGTCGTTCCAACTCATTCCTTGAGAACCAGCACCTAGAAAACGATTTGGACCCGCCTTCTGTGGAATTTCACCTGTTCTTCCCTGTTGACCAATGCCTTTTGTGGTACTCTGTTAGGACTCTCCTTTGTTTTGCTCTTACAAATTGTGGTTCAGATTGTTGGCATTTTTGTTCCTTCAGGTTGGTGGATCCGCAAAAAAGCTCCGCATCCCAAACCGCTTCCTCCGCCAAGGCATGTCCCCCGCGACTCCAAAGCTCGGTCGCTCGGTCCCGCAGAAGGGGTCCATGCCCATCTGCCCGGACCTTGCGAGAGCCAGCGACCGACACCCGGACCGGGACCCGTTGGGAGAAGCGGGAGGGCACCCGGGATCGGTGGCTTGACTGGGCGAACATCCGATTCAATCCCAATCCCAATCCAACCAAAATAGGCTCTGAAATGGGTGGAATTCACCTACCCCAAAATGGTTTTGACTGGTCAATAGGCTCTGAGATGGGTGGAATTCACGAGTGCCACGAATGAATTAATTCACCTAGCCCAAGAATGGTTTTGACTGGTTTTGACCCACAGCCACAACCCCCCCTCCAACAAACAAAAGGGGGGGGGAGGGAAGCACACCGTCTGGGCACATCCGAATGGAGCAGCTCTGCCCGGACGGTGCAGACGTTGCAAGCCACTTGGCCAATTCCGGCAAGCGGTGCCCAAGCGGCTCTGGGCATGGCATGGCTAATACTTGGGACCAGCTATGCTCCGAGTCCCTCGAAGGGAAAGCTGGAGGCCAGTAAAAAATAAACTCTGCCATGTGCTTGCACTCCGATCGGTCGCCGCTCCGTCTGTAAGAGGAAATCGGGATACCCCCGGCTTCCGAACGGCTCCCTTCCAACCCCCGGAATTAAGAAACAGGGGTTTAGTACTCCGGGGCCAACACTGACAATTTGACAAAGATTCCTATTTCCTTCTAAACTCCTGTGATAAGCAATTTCTCACACGTGCCATGCCCAGCCTGGAAACTATCAGGTCTAAAGGGCTCAACTACCAACGAAACTCATGAGGCTTTTCCACGAACCACGCTGTTCTGAAACAAAGTGAAGGCATGGGGGCATCCCAAATTGTCCAAATCACCAGCGAATTTCCAAAGCTTCACTGAAAATCCACTGTTTGTCCAACAAAATTCCAAGCTGTGGTGGAAGCCCGCCAAACCCCAATCTGTCAAGTTGGAGCTTGGAACTCCAACAGTATGCCCCAGCCCAAATCTGACGATACAAAACTTTTGGCAGGGAAGAAACCTAGAATCTCAAACCCTCACACTAGGCCCAAAAAAACACGAGAGAAGCAGCCCCCAGTTTTCGATGGTGGTGAGGCCCCCAAGACTTGGGCACGAAGAGTGGCAACATGGAACGCACCGCCCGTCCAGCTGGGGACACCAGGCCAAGACCGGCCAACTTGGAAGACTATGGCCCGTTTCCCAAAGATATCCATGCGGCAAAAACGCCAAACAGATTTGGGGGGGTTATTCAAATTCCCCAAATGCCCCGGATGGTTTTGCAGCTATGAGTGTAAAAAAAATAAAATCTCGCTGCCGCCAAGGGAGCCCCCACACCGAAAAAAAACCCGAAGTGGCGAGGGCTCGGCCGGCCGAGGAAGCGGGGCCCCCGGCTGCACGCAGGCGCAGTTGGCCATGAGGAAGGCCAGCTCGTTCCTAAGTGTATGGGTTTCTTATGTTTCTGGGTTTATTTCGGTATTTCTGAATTTTTACTTACTTTGCTTTTTCTTTTTCTACTCTTGGTTAATTGTTTGTAATAAGTCTGGTATAAGAACCGAATCCGCCGGTGGACTTTTTTGGCTGCGATCGGTGGGGAACGTGGAATTCGGAAGGAACCGGTTTTAATAAAGTTGTTTCCTTGGGGTCGTTCCATTTAGGAAACCACCAGTTGGATGCTGTTTCTTGGGGTCATCCCCCCAAACCGCTTTTGAGGATTCCCGCATAAAGGAAACCACAAGTTGGGCGGTTTCTCGGGGGGTCATTCCATTTCTCATTCCCCGCTGAGCACCGGCAAGTGTTTGGGTCGCTTTGGGTTCGTGAAAGGAAATCAGGGATCCTTACATGATACACCTGAACATTGCAACTTGCAAATGGTGGCTTCCCTTCATTTTGGTGGAAAAGCAACATGTTTCAAATGGGCAAAATGGAGATCTTTTAAGGAGCCCTGGAAAGGACTGGAGCGGAGAAAAGGTGTGGGGCCATTGGGGATCGAGATCCCATGGACTTGGAGAACTGGTTCCCCATGAGCTCTGTGTAGCTCCCTCCCAAAAGTGGCTACGATGTTCTGGGCTGTCCGTTTTTTCGGATCCCCGGCGAGCTTGCTCAACTTCTGGCTTAATTTCCACCTCACCGGATCCCTTCCACCTCACCCCACCCAAAAAAAAGTTGAGCCAAGCCAAGCTTGTCCAAACTGATCCCCTGCCAAAAGATCCTTTCACTTTTCGGCCCAAGTCCGGGCCGCGAAGGATCCAAAAACCCCAAGTTGAAGACCGCTGGCCTCGCCCGGAACGAGGCCCGCCCACAGGTGTCCTTTTAGGGGGAATCGATGGCTTTCCCCGGTAGATGAGAAAGAAACCACCAGACAACCAGGAATCGAAACCCATCTATTTTTCGAGCAAAGCCTGCCGCCAACAACACACCTACGGCACCGCTTCGTCGCCCGCCCTCACCGACCGTTTGGGCGCCGGGCTCCAGGGTCGTGGGGCCCAGCACCGCGCGCTGGGACAAGTCGTAGCGCTGGAAGTAGGCCTGCGCACGCCCAAAGCTCCGCCGAGGAGCCCCCCCCCCAAGGCGCCAAAACCCAAAAAGCGGTTTGCGTTTTGGGGTCGGTCTGGAGCCATGGTCTGAAGGAGTTGGGCGAAATGGGAAAAAATCCCCGGTTTTTTGGGGGGATGGGTTTCAAATTTGGAAACCGACGGGAAACATGCTGCCCTCTGGGGTCACGAGAGTTCCCCAAGTGAAAAGGGGGATCAATTGTACTGGGGGCTTCCATAACGGTGGCCACTGAAGTTGTTGTAGGCTCGGAACCGATTTTGGAGTTGTTCAAAAGCGAAGGCAGAGGGAAACGGTTCCTTTTTGGCGAAGAAGACAACATGCAATCAGATATCGCCCCGTTCAGGGCTTGACACTTCCCCCTAGGGAAACTCTCCTTAAACGGGATTCCCGAAAGATGTTCAAAACCACAAAATAGGGGAATAGATTGAATCGACCCCTGTCGTTAGCTCACTTGCCCAAAGGGCCTGGTGGAACTTTGATTGACCCAGTGAATCCATTTCCCTCTATAGTAGGTAACCAAGGGCTTGCCACCCTTTACAAACTAGAAGGTCACGAGCGAAGGCTTTCCCATCGTGCCCAAACATATTCCTGGGAGTTTCTCCTGGGCCAAGACAGACCAAAACGGCAAAAAACAAAACAAAACAGGTAAACCTTGGTCTTCCAAGGGCCCGCAAAACCAGGGTCCTTCTTGATTTTGATCAAGGAGAGGTATCCACTTCTGTTGGCTTAAAAGGAAACCCACGGGGCACCGAAGCCCATTTTGGGCTTCGGGAGTCCCATTTGGAGATCGCTCGGCCTGAGGGCCTGAGAGCAGAGAGCCGAGCGGGGGCCTTCTCTCCGCCCTTGATCTTCTTGTCCACGCTCCGGCCCCCGGCCACCTGGCGGAAAGACCGGTGCGGTGAAGTGGCCCACGGCCACTCCACTCGCTGGGCTCGAAAAGTGACCTCATCGCGGAGTGGTTGAGAATCCAAAGTCCCAAAGGCGAGCTTCTCCCCTTTTGGTCCACATGAGACTTCTGTTCTCGTTGAGCTTAGAACACCTGCGTTATTGTTTGAACACTTGTGGGCTTAAAAACCGGAGAACCCAACCACCAAACCAACTCAAAAGATCGAGAAACCCAAGGAACCGGACAGCTGGTTGGGCAGAGACCCCAAAGCCTTCAGCTGTTGGGGGCAAAAAAGCAGTACATGGAAGAATCAGATATTCAGACTCTGTATCATATTTAGCCAGCCCCAACGTGTCAAGAACAACGTTCTGAGCAATGCCAGCAGTCTGCTCAGGGTTCCAATTGGAAAGTGATTTCACGCTTGGAAGAAACCGTCGCAAACAGCCCCGGGAAATAAACGGTGAATCCAAAAGGAAACTGAACGTTTTCGGGGGGGCCAAGTCATATTTTGTGGGTCACACTCCCCGGCTTCCCTCTAGTTCCTTCCCGCAGGACCTGGTGAAGAATTCTCAGCGGCGATTGCTCGCTGGCTCGAAAAAATCGTCGTGCACCCTAATCACAGCCCCCCTTTTGCTCACTCAGGGCTTCATTCATCCGGGGTTGGCGGAAAGTGGTTTGGTTTGGTAGTTACGTTGTGACCTTCCTTTTCCACGTGGCCTCAACACCCCGCCCCCCAACCCTGAAAAGTTGGCATGGGGAAAACGAGTGAACTTGTCACATCTTAACGCATCCGATTTCCAGCAATGAAATATACACGCCTGGGCAAAGAGTTGGGGCGCGCTTCTTTTTTTTTCGCGGGCATTCCGCCACATCTTCCCTAGAGGCAAGTAAACTGATGAATCATGAATCGGGCTATGGGGAATTGCACAGCTACTGCTGACTTAGAGCCGACTTCCAATGGGAGGAAGGTGCCCCTTCAACGCAGAAATGGACTACCTTTGGGGCCTTCAGACCACCAACACACCTCCAGGGCACCAATACCGGAAGGAATGGCTGCACGTACACCTAGGCCCTCCAGTAGTTTGAGGTTAGAACAAGGCTACCCGAATTGTTTTTTCTGTCGTGGCTTTAGTAGGGGAACCCTCCCCCCAAAAACGGGGGGGAAAGGGCACGATCCTGGGGGCCTAGACACTTTCCCGGTAATCTTGTCTTGGCCCCCAGAGCTGGATGCTATTGGGCAACAAAGGGGACCCATTTGAGGCAAGAGATGTCCCCGGCAGCACATCAACCAAGACTCGGTCCTCCAGTAGCTTGAGGTTAGAATTCGGGTACCAACTTTTTCCTGTAGTCTATTTTAGTAGGGGAACCGAATCTCCCAACCAAAAAAGAAACGGTCAAAGGAGCCCCGGCCTGGCGCCCAATGAAGACCCGCTCCGCCCTGAGCGAGCCGAAATGGACCCAGTATCAGGAACCCTCGAGACCCGCTCCAAGAATCACCCAAAGGCAGAGACCCCGAAGCAATCAGCTGGAGGAACAACACGGCTCACTGAAAGTGCCCCCCCTCCCCCTCCCCCCCCAAAAAAAAACGAAGTTCCCAACCCGAAGAAAAGCCGTCAAAACTCAGCAGTTTCGGCAGAATGGACTGGATTGGAAAGAGAAGCCCGCCTCAATCAAAAAGGGAAAACACGTCCGTTGACAAAAGTTTCAACAACTCGTCAGACGCGGTCCTAGTTTGCAACCTCTAATTCCTTATGGGAGTATCCTTTGTGGGAAACCACAAGGAAAAAACCCGACCACCGGCCACCCTTCGCCCGTCCCTTTTTCAGCAGCCCTGAGTCGGCCCTGAGCAGCCCAAGGACTGGGTGGGGCGTCCTTTCTGAACCCAAAATATTGTAATGAGCGGGGGGGAGAGCGGGGTCTTGATTCAATTTTTGTCAACCCAAACAATGGGTCAAAATTGAGGCCACTCTTCCTTTGGTGGATTACAAAGGGCATAGGGTGAGCCCAGAGCACCATGCGGTGTAAACCCGTTGGTCAGCATAAGGCACTAGCATCATCCTTGCCATCTCTTCCGCGTAAGCTGTTGTGATTTGTGCATCTGCATAGGATCATCGTTGCACCCTTGCCGGATCAGGTCAACATCAGACACGACGGCTTCGGGATGGCGAGGCTGCAGGAACTGGCCAGCAGCTGTGCAGTCGCAGCGCCCCAAATTTTGGACAACCGCTTCCATGTCCAATCCGACGTTGCTGACACAGAACCCCAAGTCAGGTGCTGAACGCCTTGGCAACCGGCAATTCACACCGAGTTTGCATGGACAAGTGGGCATCGCAAATCGCAGATGTGAGACTAGGTGGTTGGAAGGGAGCCGTTCGCCAGGGGTCTCCAAACTCGCCTCTTTTTAGAGTGAGCCAGGTGGTCGCAAAAACGACAGGCAAACCCCACAGCTCGTGGTTGGCTCCCAAAAATTCCACGTCGCTTTCTTTAGGGTGAGCCAAGTGGTCGAAAGAAACCACGGGCGAACCCCACAGCTCGTGGCTTCCAACAACTTCCACGTCGCCTCCGGGGCTCCGGGCACACTCTTCCGGGGCCCCAAGTGAGTCTTCTCCTCGCACTCGTGGCGGTGCTCCTCGTAGGGGCCCGGTGTCCCAAACCCCAAGGAAGGTCAGGAGTTTGGATGGGTGTGTCTTTTTGTGGGCTTGGAACCCCTTGTTTATTTTCATATATTTTTTTGCGAAGTTGAAACAGGAACACCAAAATATATGAGGGAATTTGGTGGGTCCCCCATGGTTGTTTTGTGTTAAGGGAAAACCAGAAGGAAAAACAAGATCCGTTTTGGGGGGGTCCAATTGCTAAAATAAGACAGACCCATATGCCGTTTGCCACTCAGTGGCCAAATCGTGGTTTCCCTAAGGGCCCTCATCTGTCTTGGCGATTGAAACATCATCGTGCGGGCCGATGTTGTTCGATTGTCCTTTTGTTGACTGTTGAAAAGTGGAACATTAAAATACTCGAATATCCGCCAGGCGGCCCAGCTTGCTATCTTCTTTGAAGCTCTGTGCTGGGTTGCTCCAAGACTGAGCACAAAAAAGTTCGTGATCGACCTTGTGTAGAGTTCAATGGGAGGAAAAAGAGAAACCTAAACCTCGCACCAGTTAGGATTTCAGCAGGGCGTCTCTTTAAAAGGAAACTGGTCGAAGGTCAGGTTCCGGCGGTTGTTTCCACAAGGTCCGTTTGACGCCCAAGAAACTCACACCAACTTCAGAGGCCGAGTGCGAGACTCGCCATGTCCCATTTGGGCAGATCTCCTCCAGCACCCAGAGATTGGTCTCCGGAGCTTTGAGGTCCACCACCTGCGAAAGTGAGCCAAAGCGTCGAGAGCCACTCTCCTTTTTGCTCGGTTTGCGTAGAAAAGAAGGGGCCCTGAATTTCCGCGCGTCAGGCTTGGATTGGCTGAACATGGCTGGCGGTTCCTGGCTTACCCGGTGATTTGTGTCTTGTCATCTACCAAGACCCTGGTTTCGTCATCCAGGACCTCTTGTTTCCAAGCGAACCAACCAAAAAGGACGGGTCATGGAGACTCTAGGTATGGTCAAGAGTGGTGAGACCCACTCTGCCGACTTCGGATGAGATGCGATGCGCCGAATCAATCGAGCTGGATCCCGTTTCACCCGAGCTGACCCCTCCGGTGCTCACATGGTCCAGGTTCATATAGGTGTCTTTTTTGAGGTTAGACCCCATGGTGGATGTCCTGTTGGTGTCCCTTTGAAACCAACCAAAAGAGGGTACCAACTCCAAACGACGAGCCAGCCATATGGGCCCGACGGTGAACCCGAGGAAACCAGGCAGTAGAGCCCTTCTCGTGGCTGCTGTTCGGGAAACGGAAAGGAAATCCAAACGCAGGGAAAAACTTAAGTATATTAGAAAAAAAACAAGGCTCGGATTATGTGCAGACATGCAAACCATCGCCTTTGAATGCAGGTCCCGTGTTCCTTGTTGCTACCCCCCCCCCCAGATGGTCCCCCCGAGATGGTATGGGTCCCCCAGGACCCCCCCCCCGCCCGAGACCCGAGCCCCCGGATCCTGGCACCTACGGTCCCACCCCCACCCCGACCCCCTGAGCTCGCACCCCGACACCCCGGCACCCCCACCCCCAGGACAAGCCAACCCGCAACCAACCATAAACCAACCCTAAACTCCGCCGACCCCTCGCTAAAGAGGGGAGGCGCACGGGAAGGGTGGCTGGCGCATGAGCATAACCGAAGATTCATCCTCATCGGCATCATCATCAATACTTATCATGACAGTCGTCATCCTTATCATCATTATCCGTATGATCATCATGATTTCTGATTCTGCAGCATTGGTAATGCAGAGGGTGCTACGATGATAGTTATGATGACAGTCATGGGCAGCTTTGGTACTGTTGAGGGTGCTACGATGATAGTTATCATGAGAGTCATCATCCTGATCATCACCCTTATCATCATCATGATGGTCATCATCCTCCTTCATCTTCATGATGGTCCTCCTCATCACGGTGCTCAGCCAATTTGAGATGCAGAATCATCATAGTCATCACCGTCATCATCGTCATCATGATTGTCATCATCATCTCTTTCTTCTATACATTTCAAATGTGGCGTTAGGCACCCTTGGTAATGCAGAGGATGCTACGATGATAGTTATCATGACAGTCATCCGCAGCTTTGGTAATGCAGGGGATGCTGCGATGCTAGTTATCATAAGAGTCATCATCCTGATCATCTTCATGATCATTGTCATCATAGTTATCACCGTTATCATCGTTATCATGATTGTCATCATCATCTCTTTCTTCTATACATTGCAAATGTGGCGTTAGGCACCCTTGGTAATGCAGAGGATGCTACGATGATAGTTATCATGACAGTCATCCGCAGCTTTGGTAATGCAGGGGATGCTGCGATGATAGTTATCATAAGAGCCATCATCATCACGGTGCTCAGCCGATTTGAGATGCAGAATCATCATAGTCATGACCGGCATCATCGTCATCATGATTGTCATCATCATCTCTTTCTTCTATACATTTCAAATGTGGGGTTAGGCACCCTTGGTAAGGAGGATGCTACGATGATAGTTATCATGACAGTCATGCTGCGATGATAGTTATCATACGAGTCATCATCATCACGGTGCTCAGCCTATTTGAGATGCAGAATCATCATAGTCATCACCGTCATCATCGTCATCATGATTGTCATCATCATCTCTTTCTTCTATTGTCATCATCATCTCTTTCTTCTGTACATTTCAAATGTGGCGTTAGGCACCCTTGGTAATGCAGAGGATGCTACGATGATAGTTATCATGACAGTCATCCGCAGCTTTGGTAATGCAGGGGATGCTGCGATGATAGTTATCATAAGAGTCATCATCCTGATCATCTTCATGATCATTGTCATCATAGTTATCACCGTTATCATCGTTATCATGATTGTCATCATCATCTCTTTCTTCTATACATTTCAAATGTGGCGTTAACCCTTGGTAATGCAGAGGATGCTACGATGATAGTTATCATGACAGTCATCCGCAGCTTTGGTAATGCAGAGGATGCTACGATGATAGTTATCATAAGAGTCGTCATCCTTATCATCTTCATGATGATTGTCATCATAGTCATCGCCTTTATCATCGTCATCATGATTGTCATCATCATCTCTTTCTTCTATACATTTCAAATGTGGCGTTAGGCACCCTTGGTAATGCAGAGGATGCTACGATGATAGTTATCATGACAGTCATTCGCAGCTTCGGTAATGCAAAGGATGCTGTGATGGTGGTTATCGTAGGAGTCATCATCCTTATCATCTTCATGATGATTCTCATCATGGTCATCACCGTCATCATCGTCATCATGATTGTCATCATCATCTCTTTCTTCTATTCTATATTCTACTTGTATACATTTCAAAACTGGCGTTAGGCACCCTTGGTAATGCAGAGGATGCTACGATGATAGTTATCATAACAGTCATCCGCAGCTTTGGTAATGCAGAGGATGCTACGATGATAGTTATCATAAGAGTCATCATCCTTATCATCTTCATGATGATTATCATCATAGCGATCACCTTCATCATCGTCATCATGATTGTCATGATCGTCTCTTTCTTCTATACATTTCAACTGTGGCCTGGGCGATGCTGGTGATGCCAGACACGTTTTCTTGCCACACGATGCCCTTCTATCTCGTCAAGAAAAAGCAGCTCTCAGCCCCGCTCTCTACCCCCCCATCAGCCGCAGCATCCTGTGCATTACCAATAGACACGCCCGGGCGATGCTGGTGATGCCAGACACGTTTTCTTGCCACACGATGCCCTTCTATCTCGTCAAGAAAGCCGCAGCATCCTCTGCATTACCAATAGAAACGCCCGGGCGATGCTGGTGATGCCAGACGCGTTTTCTTGCCACACGATGCCCTTCTATCTCGTCAAGAAAAAGCAGCTCTCAGCCCCGCTCTCCACTCCCCCATGAGCCGCAGTCGCGCCTGGCGTCAGTACGCAAGCAAGCATAGGCTAGGGAGGACCCTGGCTTCTGGTTCAACTACATATCCATGAACATGTCACACAAAAATGAACATGTTGCGAAGAAGAAGCACGGGTCGTTCTGGGTGCCGCCTGCGCGCATCTGCAGTATGAATCAAAAACCCAATAGATATGAGCTAAAACATAATTATAGATGGAATATTATCGCCAAGGACAGCTGAATAGCTTCGAAGCTGTCTTGAATGAAATTGTGTCTGCAATGGAGAATAGAGGTGTCCAATTAATTTCGCAGTTTTTTCCGCCAGATTTATTATGTGTGTAGACGTTGAACAGCTCTATCGTGAAAAAGGCGATTTCAGTGATGGCATTGTTGAAATGTTTGATGCACTTGCTGCCGCCGTCGCGAAAAGCACCGCTTTGGGCGTGAAGTGGCGCAGCTCGCGCATGTCCAACAGCCTCGTTCTTTTTTGCTGCATGAGTGGCGATCTCTCTCAAGTTCCTGCAGTCACAGCGTGTCCCGGATAGCCCTTGGCTTATTGGCTGAAATTGCTGCTTCTGCTGCTGCTAGCTGGTGCTCCTCGCTTTTCTCCCACCAGGCGCCAGACCTCTGCTAGGATTCTCTGCTTTCGTTTCGCCCGTGTTCTCACAAGTCGCTCTCGACTTCTCCGGGCAGTTCGTTTCAAGTCACGCTCCGCTAAACATATGTCGCACGTCTGTTTGCCGTTCTGGGTGCCGCCTCGCCGTCGCGAATGAAGAGTCCAAAAAGAGAAACGGAGGAAGCCCTGTGAGATCCCGAAGGGGGAGGGGGTGGGGTCTGATCATGACTCAAGTACGCAGGGTTGTGGCTCGGCTACTGGGGTTCAAGTTTACAGTGAAACCAAAAAAAAACATCAAACATTGCACTGTTTTTTTTGCTCGAAAACCACAACTAAATCCAGGGGCTGGGCGGCAGCCCTTAAATCCGGCCACCGGGGGGCTTCAGACCCCGTGGTCCGTGATACGGCCGAAGGCCTAGGCCCGCAGGGCCTACCTTCAGGTATAAGGCCGGCCGCCCTGTGCCGCGGACCACTGCCGACCATGCGCTATACTTTTGCGCTGCGCCAAGCTGGGCCCGCCCTTATAAGGGGCGAAGGATTTCCGGATTTGTTCAGGCGAGTTTTGGCGGCTTTTTGAGCATCTCCTCGAGGAGTCAAAAAACGAGTGTTTTTTGGGTGGTGCCCATAGTGGACAACATCCCCGGCATCACCTGCATCATCCGCATCCTTGGCGGGCATTGATGCGGATGATGCCGGTGATGCGGGGGATGCTGGGGATGTTGTCCCCTAAGTCGGGCCAATTTTGCCGAAAACGTGCGACCTGAAAATCTTAAAATCTTAAAGATGGATGGAAAATGGCCTGGATTGAAATCTCAAAATCCTAAAGTCTTAGATTCTTAAAATCTTACAGTAAAATCTAACACTCAATCTTAGAATCTCAAGATCTTAAAATCTTAGAACTTAGAATCTTAAAATCTGAAAATATAAAACATCCTAAAGTCTTCGAATCTTGAAATCTTAAAAACATTATGTCTTAGAATCTTGAGATCTTAAACTCTTAAAATATGAAATTCCTAAAGTCTTACAATCTTAAAATCTCAGAATCTTAAAAAGCTTCAAAAACTTAAATTCTTTAAATCTCGAACTATTGCAATCTGAAAATCTTAAATTCATAAACAAGAAAAATATATAATAAAATTCCTTCAATCCGGGCTATATTTTAAATTCCTTAAACTCTTAATCTTGAAATTTTGAAGTCTTGACATCTTAAGATCTTAACATACAGTGTGCACGTGTGCGGGCGGGGCTTGCAGCACTATCTCTTGAAACCAAAAAACAGAGCAAGGCAACGCGAGTCCATGCAATTAAATGCTTACGGATAGGTCCCTGCGCAAGGTGTCTGGGGACCTATCAATTCGAGCAGTGTGAAACTCTTGGCCAGTAGCCACTTGGTTCGGACTACATATTCGTGATAAACCTTACATGGGACCGTAGAATCCCAGACAGTCTCGTTTCTACGCGTGGAAATCGCAGCGCTGAGTTTCACACTGCTCGAATCGATAGGTCCCCAGACACCTTGCGCAGGGACCTATCCGTAAGCACTTAATTGCATGGACTCGCGTTGCCTTGCTCTGTTTTTTGGTTTCAAGAGATAGTGCTGCAAGCCCCGCGGCGAGTCCGAATCTGGAGCGATCCGGCCACCGGGGGGCTTCAGACCCTGTGGTCCGTGATACGGCCGAAGGCCTAGGCCCGGAGGGCCTACCTTCAGGTACAGGGCCGGCCGCCCTGTGCCGCCGACCACCGCCGACCATGCGCCGACCATGCGCTATACTTTTGCGCTGTGACCTCGCTGCCAGGGGGGAAAGGATGTTCGGGTGTGTTTTGGGCGAAAAGGGGTCGTTTTTGGACCGACTCCCCGCGGAGTCAAAAACGAGCGTTTTTTGGGGGGTGCCCATGGTGGACAACATCCCCGGCATTGCCTGCATCATCCGCATCCATGGCGGGCACTGATGCAGATGATGCTGGTGATGCGGTGGATGTTGTCCCCTAGGTTGGGCCAATCTTGCCGAAAACGTGAAAAATGGGTCTTTGGGTGTCCCCCCTTTTGTGGTGGTCACATCCGTTTTGCCCTGAAAAATGTATGAACATGTCGGAAACCCCCTTAGCAGTGAGGCTTCTGAGTGCACACGTTTGCGTTTTTACACGTGGGCGCGGCCGGTGGTCTGTCAGCAACGCAAGTCCGGCCACCGGGGCCTTCAGCCCCGCAGGGCCTACCTTCAGGTACAGGGCCAGCGCCCCACGTGCATTTGCCCGGTGGCCGGCTGTGTCGCGAAGCGCTTAAATCCGGCCACCGGGGGCCCCTGACCCCGTGGTCCGTGATACGGCCGAAGGCCTGGGCCCGCAGGGCCTACCTTCAGGTATAAGGCCGGCCGCCCTGTGCCGCCGACCCACCGCCGAACTTTTGCGCTGCGCCAAGCTGGGCCCACCCTTATAAGGGCCGAAGGATTTGCGGATTTGTTCAAGGGCTTTTTGAGCATCTCCCCGCGGAGTCAAAAAACGAGTGTTTTTTGGGGGGTGCCCATAGTGGACAACATCCCCGGCATCACCTGCATCATCCGCATCCTTGGCGGACATTGATGCGGATGATGCCGGTGATGCGGGGGATGCTGGGGATGTTGTCCCCGAAGTCGGGCCAACTTTGCCGAAAACGTGCAACCTGAAAATCTTAAAATCTTAAAGTGGATGGAAAATGGATGGAAAATGGCCTGGATTGAAATCTCAAAATCCTAAAGTCTTAGATTCTTAAAATCTTAAATTAAAATCTAACAATCAATCTTAGAATCTCGAGATCTTAAAATCTTCGAACTTAGAATCTTAAAAACTGAAAATATAAAAACATCCTAAAGTCTTCGAATCTTGAAATCTTAAAACCCTTATGTCTTAGAATCTTGCGATCTTAAACTCTTAAAATATGAAATTCCTACAGTCTTAAACTCTTACTCTTGAAATTTGGAAATCTTGAAACCTCAAGATCTTAAACTTACAACCTTAGAAGACCGAATCTTACAATCTGAAAATATAAACATCCTAAAGTCTTCGAATCTTGACTTCTTAAAACCCGAATATCTTTGAATCTTCGGATGTTAAAATCTAAAAATATGAACTTCCTAAATTCTCAAAGTCTTAAAATCTCAGAATCTGAAAAGCTTTCAAAACTTAAATTCCTTAAATCTCGAACTATTGCAATCTGAAAATATTAACTTCATAAACAAGTAAAATATAATAAAATTCCTTCAATCCGGGCTATATCTTAAATTCCTTAAACTCTTAATCTTGAAACTTTGAAGCCTTGAAATCTTGAGATCTTAAAATCTTAAATTCCGAAAGTCGCCAAATCTGAAAATCTCCGAAAAATAAAATCTTAAAGCCTTCGAAATCTGATAATAGATGGAAAATGGCTGGGCAATGGCCTGGCTGTTATAACCTTCAAAAACTTTAAATCGTTGAATCTTAAAACCTTAATTCTTAAACCATTGAACCTTAAATTCCGACAGTCTTCAAATCTGAGACCCTTAGAATCTCAAAGTTTTTAGAATCTGAAAATCTTAACATCTACTAATCGGACTTACAGGAAAGGGAAGTGACAGAACGAGCAGGGCAAGGTGCCCGGTGGCCGGCTGTGTCGCGTCAGCGTGTAAATAACCCTAAACCAACCCTAAATACACCCTAAACCAAACCCTAAACCGTAGACCTCTAAACCTAAACCAACCCTAAATCCACATAAACCAACCCTAAACTAACCCTAAACCAACCCTAAACTAACCCCAAGTACACCCTAAACCAATCCCTAAACAATAAACCCTAAACCTAAACCAACCCTAAACCAATCCTAAACCAACCCTAAATACATTCTAAACCAAACCCTAAACCAAACCCTAAACCGTACACCTCTAAACCTAAACCAACCCTAAGCCTAAACCAACCCCAAACCAACCCTAAATCAACATAAACCAACTGAACCAACCCTAAACTAACCCTAAATACACCCTAAATATACCCTAAACCAATTCTAAACCAACCCTAAACCACCACAACCCAACCACAGGACCCAACCACAGGGGGGGCGGTACTTGTCTGACCCATGACCATTGGGGGGGGGACTGGCAACGCTGTACCATATATCTCTACAAATTCCAATAAAGCTCAAATTCATGGCAACGGGGTCTCATCCCAAACCCAGTGATTCCATTTCCCTAGTAGGTAACCGAGGGCTTGCCACCCTGTACACCAAGCGTTACCCATGGCGAAACGCCCTGGATGCACTGGGAAATGGTTTGATTGGATCAAAGGTCCTTTACATAGGATGACCATTGGTTTTCCAAAACCACTGAACACATGTTTTCTTCTTTCAACATGACAAACGCTAACCCCATGGTGTGAAAACTGGGAGCCCTAAATGGGACATTTCATCAACCCCAGCGGCCACCTCGTCGCCCTCAAAGAGGGGCCGCAGCATCTCCATGGTCTCCCCCTTCTCCTGGCAGAAGCTCCACATCCATCCCACGTAGCCCGCGATCCCCAAACAAGTTCTGAGGAATTTTAGGCGGTAAAAAAACCGTCTGGCGGGGATGTATGCGAAACTCGTCAAATAGGAATTGCAAGTGTGTCATAGATCTGCAAGCCCTCAGAATGATAAGCTTTCTGCGGAACTAAACTCTCAACTTCAAACTAAGGAGCCGGTGGTGGGAACCGAATCCCGCCCGCCAAAACTTCAACATGTCTGGTCTCTCAAACCAACAAGTCACACACTTCTCCCCCCCCCAAAAAAAACACACACACACACACACACTTCTCCCGCCCCGCCCCCCAAAAAAAACAAGAAGTCAAACAAAGAACAAACAACAGAGTGAAACACCCAGGTGGTATCGGGACCCAACAGCCCTGGAATCTCTGGTGCCCTCCGAACCACAGTATGTCATTTTTTTGGGGGGAGGGGAACCTTCCTTTAACTGGTTCTCCCTTCAAAGAGGACACCAAGGATTTTGGGAGCTCCAACGAAGTTGGAGGCAGACCCACAAGGCCAGGTTTCAAAGACGGGAAAAGGGGCAGGGTCCACTGCTTTTTGGTTGCCATACTTCAAGGGGACTTTGCTTGGGGGCGAGGGGGGGGGTTGGCATGTTGGCCCAACCTGATGAATTCGGAGTGTTAACGCCCCGCATGCGACCCAAAATCAATCGAGAGGTCCGTCAACTGGACGAAACGGGGCGAGGGCCCATGAAGCAAAGGAAATCCATCTGCCAGCGCCGATTTGTCCACTCTCGCCGTGGATCGATGGCCGCCAGATCTCCGGCGCCGAAATTCTGCCTTTCTGAGGCTACAGCTTATTCTGGGGAGGTTTTTTGGGGATCCCATGGTCCCATAAGGGGTGAAGACTAGCTTTAAAGTCCAAAAAGCGGCTGGGTACAACTATATATATATATATATACCAAAAGGAACTTGCGACACGGCGGGTGTTTTGATCCAAGTAAAACAATGCGCGTGTATCGAGGCTAGAGATATGTCTGAGCAAACACATGTTTTTGCATTCCTCTACAAACATGTACATACGGAAACAGTTTGTTCTTGCATTCAGAAGCCAAACAAACAAACAAGTTGCAGTGAGGGTTCACTGGTCGTAGGTGTCCTTTTGGGAAAAATGGATGGCCCTGAGTAAACCTGGAGTCTTTTGCCAAAACCAAAAAGAACACCTATGTTCACTGGTCGTAGGTGGTGCTCAGCAGGTGGAGTGTAAGAGGATGGCCGCCCGCTGCCCGCTCTGCAGCGCCGCATTGTAGCCTTGGACCTTCGTTTCGGCTCGAGTGGGAGCCCGTCTCGCAAGCGCAGCTTGCGCAGCTTGCGCAGCCCGACCGGGGACCCCCAAAATGGTGGAAACGGCTTTCCTTGTGCGGATTCACACAAGCCCTTTTGGCGACATACCCAGCTTGCGACACCCCGCACCCGACACACCAAAATGGTTTTGGTGAGACACAAAAACACAAATCCATGTGTTTTTTGCCGGCACCCAGCAGTCCCCAACAACTGCCTTTTGGAGAGCACCAAGGGGATTTTGGACATGGCAAGAAGCAGTTGTGGGGGTTAGTTGGATTCACTGGGTTTTGGCTGGGAGTTACACACAAAGCAAACATGGGTTAAGAACGGGCGCTATCCGGAGCAGTGGATTTTCATGGGAAGAAGGCACTGGGTGTCCGGATGTACTTCGCAAGCTGACATAGGCAGAGAGTTTCAGAGGGTGACTGCCTGGGGGCTACTGCGTAGGCACCGTGGTTCCCCCTTGCGTTCCAATGTGCCATCCAAGTCATGTGGCTTCGGGTTGTGGGATTCCCCAAAGTGGCCTATATAAAGTGGGGATCCCCATTCCCTGCTCGGCCTCCGCACCGGGAAGTGTTTTTTGCTTTTGGGGGAAATGCGAATCCGTGGATGGCAGCCGCTGATTGCCCCCCCCCGTTGGAAGGCGCTTGCCACCTGTGGGTGTTCAGCCTGACTGCGACCCTTTGGTGACTTTGGTGGGAAACTCCGACAAGACCAGGATGAGCCCAACCTTCCCATGCCGCAAACCCCAAGCATCCAAAAGGAAGGTCGACCTCGAAAACAAAGGAGGCCTGATAAGGTTCACATTCACTATGACTCAACCTGATGTCCGTCCGGGGACCATCGTGGCCGAGCGAGCTTTACAAGCTCAGTGCAGAAGTGCATCCTCTTCAACAATGGAAGTGGGCAGGGGTCACTGGATCCTTTCAAATGTTGATCCATTTGCTGGTAGGTTCCATTGCAACCATCGCGTGTGGTTCCAAAAAAACGCACCCAGAGGACGATCTAACCACCCCCCCAAAAAAAAGATGTATCTGGGGGCCTAGCCCATGTGTCCTTTGGGTAAAATAGATGGCACAAAGAACTGAAATATAGCACTAACCTGAACCCATCTATTTTCAACCTAACTGATCTAAGGCCACCTGTGGAGTCTACCCCAACAAATGCCAGCCCCCTCGGCCAGCCGGCCGTCTGCAGCAGCGACATCCTCGGACGGCGCAAAAAAAAGCACAAACACCACGGATCTGTTTCGGCCAAACAGACGCAGAAGCATTCTTATGGCCAAACACTTCCCAGCCCTCTTGTTTGAGTGTTTCCTTATGGGCATACTGACTTGGTCCGTAGCTTCTTGCCGTGCAAGTGCTTATGTAAAAACCGTAATTGACACATGTTGCTAGCTGATACACTAATTCTTGAAAGGCCGGTAAGTGAAGGAGAGGAACGCGTGGGAATTGTGCCATCTACTTTCACCCAACAGTCGTTGCCGAATGTCCGAAGGAAAGGAAAGGTCGCGCCAGAAAACAATCAAGTCTGGGCGTGCTCCAATGCGCTGCGCACACACGCACACCGCGGTTCCGATGCGGTCGAAAGCCCAACATGGACGGCTCAAAATGGCAGCTGAGCGCTGCATGCTGTCAGTATCCTCGCCTTCTGGGCTCCGGATCCCTTCCATATTTCTCATGACCCCCTGAAAAAAGAAGCCTCCCTTCACCACTCGGTGTGTGTGTGTGTGTGTTCTTTTTTGGGGGACCCCTGGTGGGAAGTCCTGATGGGCACTGCACCACTCACCACTTTTGAGGTGGGAACCCCGAAGAATCAGAGAGCGGATTGGCACGGCCACCAGAAATCCAGGAAAAATCACCAGACTTCACTTTGAAGCCGCCGGAGACAAGCGCGCCGAAGCGCCGAAGCCCAAAAGGAACGCGTAACCGATCTCTCCACTTTGGAAGTTGCGTAACCTTTTTGGGAGTAGAAAATGTCTGGTGGAAGGTCTTCTGAATGACACTTTGAGGGGCTCAACGGAAAACTCTGGGATCCACCTTGGTTGACGTTGGAAGGGGAGCTTTTTTTTAGGTTTTAGCAGTTCAGTGGTTGGATTTCAACCACTAAACCACACCAAGCAAAGATGTAGAATGTTTCCCAGCAACCATGCCACAATAGAGACGGACTTTCGCAGATCCGAGACTCGTCTTTTGCGACTCGTTGAACTCCGCGACCAGGGCTTCAGACTTCGCCACCACCTGCGAGGCTTGAGGACATGGAAAAGGGCGATCACCTGAAGGGAGCGATGTATGGACCAAAACACGAAGACCAAAAGGGTGGCTTTAGCAGGCTAGCAACTGAGACTATAGGAGCCTATCACTATGAAGTCTAGACAACTTGGTTGGTGGACATGCCCTTCAGCCGAAATCCATGGAAATGATCACCCACATTTTCTCCGCTTTGCAAACGATTTGAAAGGGGGGAGCCATTGCGTAAATTTCACTAGCCCGCCAAAAGGGGCGGCGAAGTTTCAGATCGAAACGCGCCGGGTCCCTGGCGCAACCCGATTTGACCTCCGATTTGACCTCTTGAAATGACGCGCAACCCCAGGATACATCCAACCGAACATGTTCTACCGGATTTCAGGAATCTGCTCACGAATTCCCATAATCACACAGGCCAAAACCGAGAACCCCGAGAAAAACCGTGAAAGTATGGGGGGGGGGGGTATTTGGACTCTCTGGCCTCAGCTCCGCTGTCTGGAAATTTGAGAACCGCTAGGGATAAAGGGACAGCGGTGGGAAACAACTCACCTGGTTTTTCCAACAGACTTTTGTCGGCTCGTTTTTAGCTGGGCTCCCCCACAGAAATCTCGCTGGATGATTCGCCACCCCAAAAAATACTGGTGTGTGTGTGTGCGCGTGTTTTGCGAGGCGAGTCCCGAGTAGCCGATTTGGGCTTGGTTTTAATGGAAACCACTAGGAAAACCACAATCATAAAGGGTCGCCGATTTTGACGAGCCATTCCCACATTCCAACACCTCCAACACAGTTTCTCCTTTTGGGGTTTGGTTTGAAAGTAGGTTCCCGCATTTTGATACACGGAGTCATGAGCAACTTCATGAATTCCGAGGTCGGGATTCAGTTCGTAATGACTATTTGCCCACCCATTTACGTTCAGTTGGGGTCACCGGCTATGTGGGGTGTACAAAAAACACCCGCCCATTTCGCGGGGGTGGGGGAGGATATCGACGCATACCCATATTACCTTTGGGGCAGATACCCGAGGAGCCGCCTGACACTTGCCTGATCGTAAAGTCGGAGAAATCCGAGAAGAAAAAAAACAAACAATCCAGGCATGGACAATATCCTGCGATTCGTCACTTGACCCAACCAAATGAGCCCGGTGTGCAATCATAGCTCGGTATGGGTACCCTCCCCCGCACTATCCTGGAAGCTCCCAGGACCCCTTTGGAAGACTTGGTTCCATTTACGGCGGCCTGGGAGCTTCCGGCTGTTAGTCTGAAAAAGTGTAGAAAGCCCGCCCGCAATCATCCATGGTGATGGCAGCTGGGCGGAAACCTCTTCCGTGAAAATTACCGTGAGAGTCCCACAACTTCCTGCAGTAAGGGTCATGACCCTCCGATGCAGCGCCCCGGATCCTACACATCGCCATCATAGCTCTGAC